TTTTACAGCAATCTTGGGTACAACATTGAATTGGGACCTATTTTTACCGCGTGCTCTGCACTACACACATTAATTGTTACAGCAACAATATTTGCTGACATATTGACTCAAATCATTTACAGAATAGAAGCCCAAGAGACAAAACAAGCCCTCGCTCCATGAGACAGCGAGAGTCAGGCAGGATGCCACATTGCTTCCTGTGACACACAGAAGACGCTTATCTACAGCGGCTGATGGCAGCCGATAACCCATCGCCAGCACTGCGGCAAGCACAGCAGGGCTCTCCGCCGCCGCTGGCCCGCGGTCCCGACACCCAAAGCTCCACAAGGGTGAGGAAGGAGAGCGGCCCGGGTTACAAATAAGTATTACCCGGCCTCCTCCTCCTCCTCCTGCTGAGCACGTAGGCAGCAGCACTCGGGTGTTTCTGGAGGCCCCAACTCGCACACCATCAGCGCTCCCCGGACACAGGGACCGCCAAACCCTCCCTCACCCATCAGCAATATGCATTTCTGCATGGAGGTGGCAGAACTCAAAGCAGTCTGCAAGCACTGAGGTCTGTAACCCAGGTAAAGTCCAGAACAGGCATCGTGAAAGGCACACATCAGCAGTTTAAGGATCTAGCTTCCACCCTAATTAAGCCCAATTAGGTTTGCAGAGAATTAGTATGCTTTGGAATGAACTTGCAAACGAAGCAATGAAGTCTTTCATGGCCGCAGTGGCCCCAGAGCACCCCTGTAAAAGTAGAAATTTGCCATTTTTTCTGTGGGCAGTGAATAGTCCCTGCACGTACGCAGCATGCCGGCCGCCGCTCTCCCCTCGCATGGAGCGGCAGTGCTGCACACCCGTGCAACCACCTGGAGATGCACTGCTGGGAGAGCTTGGATGCTCCTCGAGAGCAACAGCAACCTAAAGCGAAACTTGTACAGTCTGTAGGGGACAGCTGAACAAAGTCAGCTCCAAAACGCCAAAGCCTTAAATGTAGGTAAATATATGATTCAGAACACAGAGCAGTTTGACAAATAATAGCATCTTCCCATGCCTAGTGGTATAAAAGATGCAGCTGTTCTACCACCACAATTTACAGGGAAGGCATTTCTCCTGGAAGTAAGAGAACACTTAGTATATATTCTTAGCCAGATTGATTACCCCTATTTATATTGTAAACTAAGACAGCACGTACTAAAAAGCCATACAGTTAAACAGTTCCAGACTCCAGATCATGGGCAAGGGGTCAGTTTTATATCGTACGCTGCACAGTCTCCTGCATTTATTACAGATAACACAGAGTTCTCGGCAGCATGGACTTTTGTGCGTGCTTGTTCTTGTGGTATTTCAACAACCGTCAGGAATAACACTGCTATTTTATGGGGTCTCAGGGAATCAGAGAATCCACAAGGTTTTTTAAGGGTTTTTTTTTTTTTAAATAGCAAAGAAGCCAGCGTGTCACTCTGTAACAACTGCAATCTGTTCTCAGAACAATAAAACTGCAAAACTGAATACAGTATCTTATATCTGAATACATACATTTATCCTGAAGTAAGATCAGCCCATATTATGTCGATCCAATCTGCATGGTGTTGTGTTATTCTCCTCTATAGACAACCTGCACAGCTGGACAACTCTCATTTTCTCTATACGTTACAGATACAGTTTCAAAAACTGACATCAGATATAAGCAGAGGTCTAGAAAACGCTCCCGGGACTGTTTGCTCAGAAGTCATTACTATTCCTACAACTCTCGCGCAGTTCCACCAGGCCCGGAGACCCCACGAGCTCCACCAAAAGGCACGGAGCCAGACGTCACTGAAGCGTTCAGCTGGCTTGTTTATTCCTAAGAGAAAGCTCCTTTTCTAGCCAGATTTTCTTCTTTTTCTCTCTTTAAACACTGATAAGACGAGAGATGTTGAAGTCGCAAGTTCGTTTACATTACAGCTTTTGAAGGGATAGGTTTCAGCGTGTTACTGTAACAAATACAGGAGTGAAACTGGAAGAGATGGAGATTTGAGCTAACACAATTAAAATTTCTTCTTAAAAACAATCCACAGATATCCAGTGCCAAACACAATCTGGAGTCATCAACTAGCATGGACATGAATTAACCTAATAGCTTCTGAATAAATACAGTCCTAAAAAAAATCCTCCTATTAAAGTAATTAAGTGTTATCAGAATCACAGAGCCGTAATTAAACATGGTTTATAATTAAAACAGCATGTGTCCTAGACAGAGAACACAGCAACAAAGACAGCATAACCGTGATAGTCAATGCCAAAACACATACCAAGTACCAAAAATCAGAAAACCAGCAGAGTTTCTAGCGAGCTGCAGATGCAGTGCCTCTGCTCTTCTGACTCAGTCATCAACACTTCTGCTGGATGTCAGCACACTCAGAATTCCTCTAGCTTTGCAAGATGCTGCCAAAGTTCAAGGAGAAATCTTGGGAACTGCGTACAAGACACTAAGTGCAAGACCTAAAAGGCTAAAGTGCCTGCTGTGCACGAAATGGTGAGCCAGCAGGAACTTGAACTCAAACAAGCCTTGTCCTACCTGGCAGCGGCTGAAGATATCCGCCAGGGACACTTGAACGTTGAAGTGCTTCAGAACCTGCAGGGCCTGTTCTCTTGCCTTTTCTGAGCAGTTCACAGAGAAACATCTTCCTTCTGCCACCTGGGACTGGAGCTTCAAAAGACAAGTCGTAAACCAAAAAGACAATAAATGAGGCACTCCATGCATCATGATATGTGGGGTTTTTCCTAATGCATCTGGTTGGGTTTTAATTACAAATAGTATTTGGAGTTAATATGTGTTTACAGTCTAAATTTTGATCTAACAAGCACAATTGCTAATTTAACACTTAGCCACTGCTGCAATAGCTCTGAGACTATTGAAGCGCTGAAGCATTTTATAGCTATATATATGAGAAACATGATTGCCCAAGTCCCCCTTCAACTCATAATTTAGCAGTGTGGTGCTAACAGGAGTAGCAAGAGGAAACTGAATTCAATCACAGCTTTCACATGAAACCTGGCCAGATCATACACAGTATGCAAAAGCATAATGATGGAGATGATGTCTGATGACAGTTTTACAACTTCAATCCTTTTAGTTTATACACCATCGCACCCGTAGTTCACTCATGGCCAATGAATTTGAGGTGGTTGATGTGGACAGTCCCTCGATGTTTGTTCTGCATTTAGCAGAGAAGTTTGTATCTGGGAGTAGCCACCAGGAAGTTCTAGACACGTCTTTATGAACATGATGGGCACTCAAGGCGAGGTGGGATCAGCTACATGCAAGTAGATGGCCCGGCAGAGCCATCCTGTCCTCGTGTGAGGCATACAGGGGCAAAGGAACAAAGGGAAACAGACATCTCCCAGGACAGTGTCGTACACTGGGAAGCAGTTATTTTCCTTTGCAATTCCTACACAGTACTTTGAAGTTAAAGCTTTGACAAATAAGATTATGCTGGATGCTGAATTACCCATTACATCAACTGTAGGCTCAAGGAACAGCAGTCCGAGTAAAGAACCTGTAGTGTGGCACGGCCGCACTTGCCTCACGGTGTGTGAGGGGGGAGTCATCACAGGGGGAGTGTGCTGAGCGATTATGTAGGAAATCAGCAACCTACATTCTGCAAATACTCCAACTAGCGACTTGGGTAGCTGGGAGCTTTTGTATTGTTAGTTTGTAACAAAGAAGTCCTCCACTTCGGCTCATGGGTGTAATACAGCATAGTTTCACTCTTCCAAATGAGTTTTTGGGCAGTAGCAAAGTGCAAAGGACCTGCAGCAGGCATCATAACATTGCAACCACTGACTCCACAGGTTCTATATATTCCCAACACTCCATTTTGAAGTGTGTCTCATGAAGAGCTCTGAACATCTGGCGCTGAGGGTAAGGTTGGGTTTTGCTTTGGTTTTTTTTTGTATCTACAGGAACACAAAATCTCCACTGCTTCCACCGGGACCCCCTTGCAGACATTCTCTGCCTTCCAAGCCTGAAGAAATGTCTTTAAGTGTTGAAACTATGTCAGTGTGGAGCCAGTCAGTAAACAAGAATCTTTGTGATAAAAAGCATGGGAATTGAGCTGCCTTTCACCTGCCAATGAGGCCAAACAGAAACACTTTGTTCTGGATTGCTTGGCTTGATTTCCACCCCCCGCCCCCAGCAGAGAGCAACCGCTCTCCCCACCGATGCAGTACTGAGTACAAAAAAAAGTTCACCCAGAGCTTTGGTCATTGCAAACAGCAAACCTCTCAAGACCCTTAATGTAGTTTTTAGTGCAGAAAACATGGAAAAGCCAAGCCAGCTGTTGCATTCACATCTGACTTTTCCTCTTCGCTACACTGCACATCCCAGACCACGCAATGATACAATGCCAGAAAAATGCCAGAAGCTCTGAACACTTACAGTCTGATATGGGAGTCCAGAGGTTAAAATGACTCTTCCTTCCTGTCGGGCAATCTGGAAAAAAAGGTAAAAATTATAATGAACATGGGCTGAAGTTACACTGGATTCAAGCTTTCCTTTCACTCAAAGCAGAGAGAACATGAACTGGGATATCAAGTCTTTCTCTCCAGTATCGACCTACACTAGGCCAAGAGCGTCTGGGTCTGGTTCAACAATACGCTCTTGACAGCAACAGCAGCTCAAGGTATTGCTTGCTCACTACATGTCCCCTCCCTGCCAATACCTGCCTGGCCTCACATGTGCTGGAACAAGCTGCTTGTGCATCTGCACTGCAGATGGCCCGGGGAACCGATCCACCTTGAAACAATCCTATCAAAAACCTTTCTATCTTTTTTTTTCTTTTTTCTTTAACCCAGACTATTTCTATTTCCCCCGTCTGGTTCACAAAGAAGCAAGCCGTTCTGCTCACGCAGCAATGCACAGGGGACAAAGGAAAAAACAACCTAAGCAGGTAATCCCAGCAAAAAAATTGCACCATTAAATGTGTCTGCAAACTTCACAGATATTAATTGAACGATGCTCACTCCACTCCTTACAGATAAGATGGTGTTATTATCCCAGCAGCCCAAGAGCAGGCATACAGAAATTATGCACCCTTTCCAGGCTGCAAAGAACATCTCCATTAGAGTTTATCACCCCCTGACTTGCAACCCTGCGCTTTTATCGGAGGTCTTGTCCTTCAAGGGAAAGGTCTGCGCTGAATTATCAGGGGACTCATTACCCGCACTTCTGACCTTTGCAATAGAGTAAGAGACACTTTCAAATGGTTTGGTGCCAAAAGGAGATACTAAATCTGGAACTGCAATTCTTCACAAGGATGAAAGTGCGACTGATCTTCGTATGATTAAATGACATCCCTCCCTCCCACTCCTTCACCCTGTCCTGTAGGAGGGAAATAGTTTCATGGCCGTAGCAATGGAAGGATTCCCATGTGAACCGGCACTTCAGCTCTGCTAGTGCTGACAAGAGATTGGCACTTCGAGGTAGGCATGAGGTTATTTCTCTTCTCTGGCTTGGATTCTGTTGGAAGCCCTTGTATTTTTTCACTGTTTCCAGATGTGTGTCACAGAGGTCTCTCTTCTGGATCAGAGTTTCAGAAGCCCCCTCTGGATCCCTCTTTAGCCCTGGCAGGAGGACACATTTGGGATCAGAGTCCTGCTGCACTTCCCAGCCACTCTGACACCACCCAGCACAGCCAGGGAACACCAAAAAAAAACAAAACAAGATTTTAAAACTCTGTCTTAGATAGCTATTTTCTTAAGACCCACTGGACCTGAGGCTCTGAAGGCACAAACTCCCCATGCAGTCAACTCTAAGTCAACTCTTCTTCCTATCCTGTCCTTTCAGGTAGCCGCTTCCCTGCCTTTTTTTAGGAAGTCACTCTTTGGCTGCCAGTTCTGGCCTGAGAAAGCAATTGGCAACAACTTCTAAAGCATCCTCCTACAGGCAAAATTACCGGATTTCTTTCAAAATCAACCCTCTCTCAATAAAGGAGAAAACCTCCAAGAACAGCAGCCTTGAAGTGGCAGCAGAGACACCCTGTGCTGCACTGCAATCCTACTACATGCAGTTTGGATTACCGAAGAGCTCTGCCAAAAAAACCACCCTCATGGCACATTAGCGAGAGAAGACCAGTAAGGCAACAGCAAAAGTTCACCACAGTGATTTGCCGACAAGGGAAAAGAGATGTGAAATTCCTTCAGACCCATGTGTGCTTCAGGGTAAGTCTCAGGATTTCACAGCTGGAACTCTCCATTCTGACTTCCTGCATCCAGGGTTAATTAGTTCAAGCTTGATAAATCCCCTTATCTAAATGGCTCTGCAGAGACAGGCAAAGAACATCAAATAAAAAAGGAGAAAGGCAATAACTCTTCCAGGATGTTTTTCCGCCTCTGGAACAACGACTGGGAGAAGCACACAGAGCCAGAACAGCCATGTGATAGCACACATTTGACTGAAACCACGGAAGAGACGTGCAGGAGAAAAGGGCACAATTCCTTCTTTTTGTCTGAATGAAATAACGGAAGGCAGCGCTGGGACCATCCGGGAGATGTGCTTGGAGATGCAAATAAAAGGACAAGAACGACCAGAGTAGCATGTTGGGGTGGGTGTCAGGGACCTGTGCTCCATCCCAAGCGCTGCAGAGAGGGCATCGGCCTCAGTTTCACAATCTGTTAAAAAGATAATATCAACTTCCTCTGGAAAAGGCTTAGACCTTCTGGATAGAAAGCTCTCCCTAATAACTTGGTATTACTATTTAGCCCTTAACGTGCCTGTCTGTTCAGCCAACATTCATCTCGCAAAGATGAATGAACTCAAATGAATTACTACAGGAGAGACCTGGAAGGGCAACGCCTGACGAGGGAGGGCAGACAGAGACCCTGTGTTTCGAAGCCAGCACCAGCAGCAGAATGATTCATGACAACCTAAAGGATCCTGAATAAGGAGCCAAATAAGGTTTCAAGACACAGCCAGCAGAAGGCTTTAGATTTGTAATTTAAAATGTAAAATTTGCCGAGGCCATGCATGCCACATCTTGGGCAATGCCACCTGCCCTTGAAGAGACAAACTGCGGTGCTGCCTTTGCAAGGCAGCAGTCCAGGCAAAGCTGTGACCCCCCCTGGCAGTGGCAGCAGTGAAGCAGTGATCCTGAGCTGAGGCCAGTGAGGTCCCAGTTCAGACAAAAAGGGAATAGACAGAAAAAATCTGCTCCAGGGTGTGTGCTGGAAAAGCACCCAGACAAAGATCTACTGAAGAAGTGGATCACAAACCTCCCCTACCTGTGATCTCAGACTCTTTTAAAATAGACATTAAACCAAGACCTCAATAGCCGTGAACACACTCAGTCCAGGCCTGTGGTGCACTTGCTGTACTGCTGGTATTTCAACCCCAGACTTCTCTTGAGCATTCCTAAAAACCATAAATTGCACAAAATTATTGCATGATTTCATAACACAGCCTTAAGTACTAGACCAAAACCATTGACCCAATTTTGTTTCTTAATGTAGACCTAGTTGTATCAAGGTCTCCAACAAAAGACATTCTCCTCCTGCTGACCAATATCAAAAGCAAAGTCTTGATCTTAAAGGCAGAACAGTTCTTCATCTGTCCTCTGCAAATTAACTCCACAGATTGCCAGGTAGGTAAAAACACTAGCAAACCTGAAGAATGTGATTTACATCAAAAATATGAAAAAAGACATTCAAAGGTGAGATGAGATCGGAGATTAGATTCCCCCACTACATGAAGTTCTGCTCACTGCAGTATTATAAGTCCCGTTTGTGTTTCATGGCTCCAAACCAATCCAGGGCAATTTAGATTCAGGTGCACATTGCTCTAACTGGCTCCTGAGATCCATCCAAGCCTGGCCCTCCTCTCCGACTCGCTGGTTCACCCAGAGTTTTGGAGGACTAGGTGTAACCTTGCAAGGGAACCTTCTACACCATGGGAGCTGCAGGAAGCCAGTTCTACCAGCCTTCAGGTTATTATCACACTTCAAAAGATACTCAATTTGCCTTAGTGTGCAAAGTATTCTCAGAGATGAAGATCATTTTGAAGACCAAGAACACAGTCCATTAAAAAAATAAAACAAACTAACCCACAACTCAACTGAAGGGGCTCTGAGATTCCACCAAGTCTCTTAGAAACTAGTGACCTAGAGAAACTACCAACATTTTCTTAGAAGCTTTGCTCCACTCCTGAAGTACAACATTGCAACATCTACTGTAGTCACTTCAGGCTGGTGGGTGATCCTTTAAGGTTCAGTATGAGATGCATCCCACTACTCTACCTGATTCTGCAAAATTTCAGAGAAAAAGAGAACACCCACTGAAAACTGAAACCATCTCCTTCCAATTATCCATCTAGAAGGCCCAAAGGACAGGTTTAAGATTCTCTGCAAAGAGAAGTTTGCAGAAGACGAGCTGGAAGCCCTGGCTAGAAACACAACAGGCATAGGACATGACTTAAGTAAAGAAAAATGTATTCATTGGAAATAACATGTTGCTTATAGGAATAAGTGCAAACGCAAAGGGTGGCTTACCCCAGTAATGGCAGCTGCACACACAGAGGGATGCTGCCTAAGAGTGCTCCAATCTCTGCATTCTTCACCTTGGGCTGGAGTTAGAAGCCCCCGGTGCAGAACGCCTGGATGCATACAGCCCGCTGCAAGAGAGACCTCCCTGTTCTGCCCCACAGCAGGCAGCCAGGCTCCAGCCAGCCTGGCCATTACCCAAAGCTCTCCAGAAGGGCCTCCTACCCAAGGTGTGGGACCGGGGCAGTGCTGCCAGGCAAGGACATGGTTCAGGGAAAGCACGTGGTGAATCCCCCCGGCTCTCCATGCACAGGCTGCTGAAGTCAGGTAAAGGAGCTCGTCCAGCACATCTGGTACAAATTTCATCCCCCAGCTGCATACCTGCTTTGCCAAACGCTTGCGTTCATCGCGCTACAGCAGCTGGGTTAAAAACACATCACGGTAAAAATGTTACTGCCACCCCACCGAATGAGAAGACTTGGAAAATGAGACAGCACCCGTACTTGGACATAAATCTGCTCTTCCCAGAGAGGCTGCTGCTCATGGACAGAGGCTAAAATGCTTTTGTTAGGAGGGACTGCGAGCTATTTCCCTTCAACATGAGGATCATAGAATCATAGGTTTAGGTTGGAAAGGACCTTGAAGAGGATCGAGTTCCAACCCCCTGTCATGGGCAGGGACTCCTCCCACCAGCCCAGGTTGCCCAAGGCCACCTCCAGCCTGGGCTTGAGCATCTCCAGGGAAGGCGCCTCAACAACCTCTCTGGGCAACCTGTTCCAGTGCCTCACCACCCTTAAAGTAAAAATCTTCTTCCTAATGTTTAATCTAAACCTGCCCTCTTCCAGTTTATATCCATTCCCCCTCGTCCTGTCACTCCATGCCCTAGTAAAAAGTCCTTCCCCAGCTCTCCTGTAGGCCCTTTAGGGACTGGAAGGCTGCAATAAGATCTCCATAGATTTAACCAGAGAAATTTTCAGTACAAATTTCTAGTATTTTTCCATTTTTAAAGATTTTCTGTATCTGCGCATACGACAGATAACTTTTAACCAGTCAAGTCCTAATTAAATGGCACAGAATGCAAACCAGTGTCACCTCACAGCAGCAAAACATGGGCAAACAGGGGAATGCACTGGCTCATGGTGTCGGAGGCCCTGCTCTCACGGGCTGGCAGATCTGAGATTGCAGATCTGGCATGATAAGCTTGCCATGACAACTGTTGTCCAAGATAAAACATTTAGCCAATAATAGCTGCACAACACGAAGCAGTACATGGGACACAGACGTCAAATTCAGCCTGGGAATGGGGTTTTTCAAACCAATTGCTGCCACACGCACTAGTCTAGAAGAAAAAACTAAAAAAATCCATAGCTGCCCAAGCACAACCTACAAAGCTCTCAGGCTTTGAAGTCTGATCTCAAAAAATAGAGGGTGAAGGACAAGACCCATCTGCCTACCAATACCTGAAGCCACTTTAACAAGCAACAGGACTGAGAACAATAAGGAGCAAATGCCCAGTGATTGAGTTCTTGGTGCATGGAGATGTGTAATGAGACTGATAAATCATGTTACTGAAATTCCTTTAATGAAGAACAAACACTAACTCTGTACACACTTATGTGCTCCTGGAGACACGAGTTTGAGACTGTGTTGGGACAACACCCAAACTATCTATCTTGTATTCAGTGACCAGGATCCAAACCCTTTTCCTGGCCTCTGCAATAACATTTACAAGTTTTCGGGCATACGGTGGTCAACATTCACCTTTTGTTAAATCAGGACTAGCCAAATATAAAGCAGGGTGGGAGGAGTCTATTTTTATCTTTGATTATCCAAGCACAGATCAAAGGCTCTGCAATACAGTAACACTCCAAGGGCTTTTGATAGTGAAAGGATGTTTGTCCAGTCACCATAGAGAAAGCAATGTAAAACATCCTGTCCGTAGCACGATAAGGTATCAGGATGAGAAGCGGAGACGGGGCTCTGGGGGAAGGCAGTGAGAACTAGTTTGTTTAAATGACTTGTGCAAGTTTGGCAGAGACAAGATATTAATTATTTCTGCAGAAGTTAGAGCCTGCCCAGGATTCAGGCCAAGCAGACATCTGAAGAGGAAACATCCTGTGCACCAGGCTGGGTGATCAGTGCACATTCGATAGCAACACACTGTGTGGGCTGGATATCTCCAGTTCTGGCATAGCAGAAATATGTCTGAAATGAAGAAGCATGTGTCTCTTCTCTGAGAGGCAGAGGGTCAAAGTTGTTATGGGAGTCCAGATCAATGTTCACTGTCCCTACGTGTGTTAGACTCTTTCTTTCCCAAACATTTCACTGCAAGTTGTGTCTGCTCACCTTTGAGTCATCTCACAAGACGGTAGCCAGCTAGGACGCTATATGGCAAGTTATTACAGAAATTTTCCCTTTCGTATTGAGCAGTCATCTCTTGATTATGGTTCTGCTCGACTGACCCAGGCACAAGGCAGGCAGATAGCTTCCCTGTAAGCCCAAACTGGAGTCCATTAGAAAACCAAAGTGAATTTGGGGTTCCTTTCTCTGATTTTTGTCTTGTTGCAAATGTACCACCACCTCCCCATGAAAGACACTTGAGACTGCAGGTCACATCTTTCCACTCGGCCTGTGCGCTTCTCGTGACCTGAAACATCACAGCTGCCAGTGACACAAACATACAGACACCAGTAAGGTTTGAGACCCCAGCACTCTGTTCACCTCCCATCTCCTGGAAATGATGAACCAAGCTCACGCACCGCTGTAGGGACTCGCTAACAACAGCTGCCACGTGGCACAGCTCCTCGGGCTGAACCAGGGAACTGGGTCTCAGCACTGGCACAGGAGGAAGCACTGGGCAGCCCCTGCCAACCCACTGCCTGTCTGCTGCGAGAGACTAAACAACTAACCAGTGCAGTTATTCAGCAAGCAGCAGGCTTCCCCACGAAGCACAGATGGGAACTACAAACACACACACACACGCGCGCGCGCGCACACACACACGTGACTAACCTCAGCAGCTTTCCGATGGTCATCCTCATTCTCCAGCATCCGGACATCCACCCCAAGGCAGCGAAGGTAGCGCCCGAGGCCTTGCAGCATGTTATCGCAGACCACACTGAACTCCTTTGGGGAGATGGGAGCAGGGGCACACAGGGTCTCCTTGTCAGATCCCCTGCACTGCTACGGAAAGGCAAGAGATCCGTAAGCCGCAGAACAGAAAGGTGATTTCCAGTGCATTTGTGTTTTGCCTCCCCACATTCACCCACCGCCACAAATCCAACCGTCCCCTATTACCCGTATTACAGTTTTCCCCATGCTCTGTAACACCTCCAGTTCCTCCCTCACGTCTTTCCACATCGCCCACCTACCACTTGCGCAGGAGGCAGCACACGATGGGGCTAATTCCGAACTAGCCATTCACTCACTGGCCAGCCGGCCACCCAACCTGGGGATCTGCAGCCCTTCCCTGGAGAAATGCCAACCTGGCCTTCTATGCACTGCACAGACATTGATTTTCATGGAGTCACAGAAACACATCTTCAAGATTGCTATTCCCCTGTCAAATTAGACTGCAATTGATATTCATGTGCCCAAGTTATGACTTGGGAAAGGGATCTGACAGACAGAGGGAGAAACAGGTAGACAAAGCAACCACGTCAGCTTTGTTATCTTCGGAAGTTTAAAAATAGGCAGTGCCTGATTTCTGTTTATTTTATTTCAAATGTCTGCTGCTGGGGGAGTTCCTGCAGTTGGAGACTTTGTCATTGGGAGGTTCTCTAAAGTACAATAGCTAAATTCATGGAGAAGGGAAGTTATTAAGGAACCTCCAATGTTCTGCTTTGCCTCCAGGAGCCTGAACCAGCTGGGATGGCTGCAGGACACAGCCACCACCTATGCAGGGCTACGCTGCCTTCGGAACAGAGGGTTTCTGCAGCACTGCAGGTCAGCTCTGCAGGAGCTGACTCAGGCCTGGAAATGCTGTGGCACACCACGCAGATACAACTGGGCTGACCCTGTGGACCGCCTCAGATGTGAGAGCTCAGTCTGTGTGATGCTGCACCTCCGCGAAGCCGGTACTTGCACTCAACGCTCTGCAGCACTGGGTAGACTGGACTGTCACTGGCTCCTGCTAGGACCTTGGTGGATGCAGCTGAGACATGAGAGTGCTGTGATAACGGATCAAGCTGAGCCTTCGATGCTGAAGTAGTTGGAAGACACTAAGCCACGACTGCTGCTTCTGTGCGAACAGATGTAAAGGAGCAGCAGCTGGCTCTTAGCTAGTGTTTATTCAATGGCCAGCAATGTCGTATGTAGCTTTTTTCTCACGTTTCATGCCAGCAGAGAGCAAAACGCTTATAAAGGAGAATAGTGTCATTAGCCCCACTTCAGATAGTGGACCAGGAAACGCTGGGAAAGAACTTGGAGTCATGGGACACAGAGTCAGGAGAAGGCTGCTTTTTTGAGCCCCAGTCCAGGTTTTACCAATTACCTCTCGGTTAATGAATCTGACTGTACAGAACACAAAGATGACCCGTAAGTTCACAAGGTAATTCAAGCCTGAAGTACTTACTTTTCCCATCTCTGCAGCAGCCAGTCAGATCTGTTGTAACATGCACTATTCCCATGAACACAGACAGCTTAAGAAATGACCGAGCAGCTTTGTGTTTTACTGCCTGACTAAGACTAACGGCATATTGTACATTTATAAACACTTGATAAGGAGGATCCTGCAAAAGGTGTCTATAATCAATAGCATCCCAGTCCAACCATGGAAGGCTGTATTGACTTCAGGAGCCAAACACACATTTGGGACTACTCAGAAGTATACACAGCCATAATGATTCTCCTCAGTTAATAAACAAAACTGGTTTTCTGCTAATGTTTTCATAGCTGCATAAAAAAAAACGGATGGTTGCACCTTAAAAGTAGAACTTTATTACCGAGAGAGAGGGACCAGTCACATTCCAAGGTATTTAAGCAAACTCACACAGCTCCAAGTTATGGCTGGCGGAGTTTTAAGGCTCTGCCGCGGCATATGCTGCAGGGGTATACTCTGCAATCACAGAGTGTGCGGTGGCAGAGACAAGCCATCAGCAGAAAGACTTTTTTGATCATAGAATCATTGAATGGTTTAGGTTGGAAGGGACCTTGAAGATCACCGAGTTCCACCCCCCTGCCCTGGGCAGGGACACCTACACAGTTAGCTGGATTCTGCCACACAGATCTGCACCAACGTTTTGCAAAGACAAATGAACCTAAAGTTGCAGGGAAAGCTGATTGAAGGCACACAAAGGAGAAAGCGCATCTTACTAGCAAAGGGGTGGAGCGAGGAAGATGTTTCTGCAATAGTCCTGAGAACAGACTACAAACAGGCATGCCATGCATAGCTAATGGTATGACTGAGAGACAAGGCAGCATATGATTTGCAGGGGTCTTGAGCAACATGCAGCTCTTTGAAGATGTTTACAAACCTGTCCAGAAGGTGATGGTACTTCTTGTTTATTCAGCTGCTTCTTTGCCCTGGGTTTTATGCTTGGTTTTCCCACCAGACTCTCAGTCAGGTCTGAACTCAGACCAAAGCTTGCTGGATCCTTACAGAGTTTCTCGTAGATCTCCAGCAAGCAGTATGCATCTGAAGCTGAAAGAAATGGAATATGAGGCTCAGCAGGTTTCATTCAGAAGTTAAACAGAGGCTTTCCTGATGCAAGGAAGAGCCCTCACCTTTGTAAATGCCACTGAATGCAACCTGTTAAGCTCCAGCTTACTAATGTCACCCCCTGTACGCTTACTGATTCCAGGAGCATCCTAACACACGATCACAAAGAGTCAAGGCAGAGGAGCTCAAAAAGCGACAGCCCTCTGCTGTCTCTGACTCCAACACAATGCAAATTATAGCGTGCCTGTTCAAACCACCACATAAGATAGCTTCAGCCAACCCATTTTACACTCCATTGTTACTGAGCAGTGGCTTGCCCACGGTTTATTACCGTATCTCAGCTATGGGAAGGGAACTTCCCCATTAGATGTAATATCTTAAAAAGTAATAACCAAGTTGTTCGCAATCACCTGCCCACATGCACTGCCATGCGGCTTCTGTTCCTTGCAACGGGAACTGTCTAAGTCTCCAAGCCAGTTTTACAAGTCCTAGTGATTAACTTTTGTGGGAACTGTGTCAGCTTCAAGGATAGCTGAATTTAACAAAGGGCTGGTTTGCTTCAGCATACTGTCCTTTGATGCCCCAGGAAAAGATTCAGACCCAGACTTCTGACTCTGGGGTAATCAGCAATAAACTCCACTGGTCCCTCCACAGTACCAATTCTGTGCTGCGGTCTCTGACACCGTGTCTACCCATTTTTAACCCTGCTCTAACAAGCACTTCACTATGACAAATGACCACAGCACTTGTTTCCCAGAAAGGCTGTGAAATGAGGTAGAAGGAAATGGACTTTCTTCCTTTCAGTTACTGAGAGGAGTTTCCACCGAGGTGATGTTTCATCAGACAAAATCGGCAAAGCACAGGAATTCTTTCATAAGGGAAATAATGAATCACTGGACAGCTTAAACTTCAACCATTAAAGCCGTGTCTGCAAAAGGACAAACATAATGTGCTCTTCTGAACAGGAACTAATCTGCAAAGCCATTTTCTTCGTTTGCTACTTAACAATTTTCCTGGCGACAGACAACAGACAAACACAGCCTGCAATGGACAATCTGTAGCACCTTGCCACAGAGTCGGTGACCAGACCTGCATAGAGGATCTGTTCCTCCCGGAGAGGCCGTTTCTCCCAGTTAGACAGCTGCTCTGTTTTATCTAGGGGTTTCCCCAGCACATGTTGCACCAAGAGGCTGAGTCCTTTTTCCGGCTGCCTGAACCCTCTATCCTCATAGCTCTGCTCCGAGGACAGTACATCGACCTTCCGGCCACCCTTCTTCCAGTCAATGGAACTCTTCTGCAGCTGACAGAAAGAAAAAGATATAAAGCACACAGTTATAAAACAACTCCTACAACCCCTCCTGTTCCAGCGGGTGGGGCCACGCAGCAACCCTATCATTTTTATCTCTTGCCTGGCATATGGAATCCCCGTGTCTCAGGAAGGGCTGAGATGGCATTAGATATATATGGCGTCTGGTTATTTGTTTAACAAACACACTTGCTGGAAAGAAATCTGTTTCATAGCCAGGGAAGGAAAAAAAGTGCATTATCGTACAGCATTGTGTCAGAGCAACGGGGCTGTGACTGACTGCAGAGGTTTTGCAGAGTGCTCAGCTGGGAGGCTGTTGGACACCAACTCAATAGAAGAAGAGCAGCGGTAGTTCAGCACCTTTCTCCTGGTTCCAGTGAGAAAAGGTATTCCTGTAACACAGTGGGCAACAGCCTTTCTGCAGTTGCTGTTTCTCAGATTAAACTGAGGCAATAGCTGTTGGCAGGTACTTCAGACCCTGCAGCACTTCCCAGGCTAAGCTATCAGTCCCAAAGATCTGGGTTCACCCCAACCCACAGCCTTAAACACACTCTGCAAATTTTACCCATTGAAATGGTCGTCCTTAACATTTCTGCTGAAAACTACTGTGGGCTCACCCAGAGACAGCTGGACTTCAGCTGAACAGAAATTCCTGTGCTGAATCCACCAGCACCCCTCCTGAAACATTACCAGTTCTCTACAAATCATTAACTCCATAATAACTGCATCAATACTGCATGATCTTGGAATATCAAAGTTTCTACAAGAATTTACTCTTACTGAGTTCAAGGATGACTTGTGCTCAGAAACATCATCCTAGCTGCATGAGGCTATGTCTCCATTTCAATCGCTTTTTCACAGCTTTTATAAAGGCTATGGAAAAAGTTATTAGTATATCAAGTTATAACATTTTAGTTGATGAAAACTAAATGCTTCTACCTTTCTTTACAGAATCATGTTACCCTCGAAACCACAAGTGGAAAATGTCTATTCACTCCTTTAGCCATCTCCCTGCCCATGCAGGATACAACAGACAATGCTGTGAAGTCATGGCAGTCATCTACGAGCACGTGCAGGAGACACAATTTTCCATATCTTCATGTGTCCATCCTTACCTGTTTGTCTACTTTGAGCAGGTCCACCACACCCCGTGCTTGCTTATCTGTGTCTTTCAAAGCAGAACATGTGGCTGCAAGGCTGTTAAGGTCTCCAGACATCCCATAACCTGGAGGAAAAGAAAGCCCAAATCACACAGGTAGGAAAACTCAAATCATGGCTAATGCACTGCAGCTCATCCTAGTTCAGAGTCAAGATGCTGACAATATATGCGTAAACATCGGTGGAAAGACTGTTCAGATAGGGGACAAGGCAGACTCTCATCTCTCCTGTTCCCAAGAGATACTCTTGCAGGTCAAGATTGGGAGAGAAGACATGGATGCTAAATGCTGAATTTAAGCTCAACTTACTTAAAATCCGCTAGGTCACTGAAGGGCAATTATGAATTTGCCCTTGAACTCCAGGTTTAACAACTCCTGCCAAAAGCTCCCAATGTAAAACCAGGTACGGGAAGGCAGAGAGCTCTGCAGTCCAGCACAACAGCTTTGGGACAGGGCCAGCAAATCCAGGAAGCTCGGCAAGACAGCCTCCCCCAGACCACTCAAAGCTGGGTGCAGGTTGGGGTTTGGTATGGAACTAAGACAATCCCAAGTCTGAGAGAAAAGGCTAAATCAGAAATCTTGGGTTTGGCTTGCAATGGGGAGACATTTCTATCATTCCCAGCTACAGTGGTCACTCTGCTTCCTGGCATGGCAGTATTTGGATACCCAGGGCCACAAAAGCTGGTCCCATGATAAGAAGACGGAGAGAAGGACAACCCCAAGAGGACCTAGCACTTAGACAAAATAAGCTGTGTAAAGACCCAAGGTGGGGAGAAGAGATGCATGTTACCTAGTTTAGTGATGGCTGCATCTAAGTAGAGCATCTGGATGAAACGAGGAAGCTTCTCCTTCTCACCCTCGGTCTCAGCTTGCTCAAGGAGCCGTGGCAAGTCAAGCAGGAACACCTCATCCTTCAGAGCGATTTGAAGAAGGGAGACACGGGGCTTGCCCACCATGCCAAATGAAGGCCTCCACTCCATGTCAATGCCAACAACCTGCCCAGGCTGCAACAAAGACAAAAGCCTTCTTCGCTTAAGAGACCAGCTACGCTTGAAAGCAGGCGGGACAGTCCCTGTCCAGAACACAAGTACTTCCTCTCCATCACTTTGCTACTGTGCAAAATACTACAGAGACAAGCAACTTTCCCAGCACACCTGAGTTCCCCCTTTGGGGACATTTCCTTGCACAGCAATTCCCAATCAGAGAACCCTAAAGGAAGCATCTCTCCTTGAGGGAGACGTTTGAGGCAGTGGCCCACATACAACCCTGCGTGCCAGCCCTCTGTGAAGTTTCTGCTCCTTGACCCTGCAAAGCAAATACCAGAGTAACACTCACCTGCAGCACCTTTTCCCAGCACGGCAGCATCTCTTCCCATGTCTGCAGGAAGTGAATATTTGCCCGTGGAATAGGAAGCTGGTAATAATCCTTCTTCTTACTCTCTTCGTAATTGTCCGCTTTCACAGCCTCTTCTACCCTGCACAGAAGCAGATGCAATGGTGTTAAGCTATGCTACGAGAGGAAATCCTGGACTGGAGGAACATCAGGAAGTCTTAAGCCCCTTATTTCACCCCGGTTCTCTATTTCCCTCTGCCATTCAACTCTTTCTCTTACCCTCTCTTTCCACACTTTCCCTGTAATCTCAGTCTCTTTCATCTTGACACCTCTTCTCTTTTTATTCCTGTCACAGAAATGGCACCATATCCGAGACCTCACCACGCACATGCACTGTGCTCACTGTAGAGAACATCCAAACCAAAACACTCACCGGAGTTAAGAGTCCCAAGCCCTGTCCCCAGTGCTCAGCTCTCTTTCCCAGAACTGATACAACTTGGATGACAAAGTTGGGCAGCTGTTTCCACAGCCAGAGATAACACATTTGAGATTTACTGCTTTTTCCCCTGGAGGTTAACATGGAAGCCTGCTAGCTCCCACGGTGTAACGCAGAATGGAGGAGTCAGCTCTGGCCAGCACTGTGTCCAACCAGGACCTTCACACTTCCCCGCAGCATAAACTGGCTCCGAATGAGCCTCTCTGGCTGCTCCACACTACGATCACCACCAGCTGGGAACGGGTGAATCTGCCTCATCCTTTGCCAGTGCAATGGCTTGGGAAGGCTTCACGGCCCTCCCTGTTGCTATCCAGCTTCTCCTCCATCCCCTTCCACGTGAAACATCCACATAGGTTGCACAGGAATATTTGTCCTACGTTGCACAGGGACGAAACGAGAAAAGTTCAGAAATAATGTTTCAAAATCTTCTCTATTTAAGGGAGAAGGGCCAGCTGAACCCACAGGCCAAGTGCCTTGCTTGTGCTGCTCCCTCCATTTGGGTTTCAGATGGCACCACATGGACAAATTCAGTATCTGTGTATTAATACCCTGGGAATGTTAGAAGATGCCTGCAGAAATGAGCTAATTTATTTCCTACAACAGGACCTTACACAGCACATTTTCTTTTCCAAAGGCAGCAGAGTCTCTCAAAATGGCCTTGTAACTGGAAGGTCAGCATATTGCTGCGGTGTCTCAGCCAGATGATGCAATCAGAGGAAAGAAGCTAATAAAAAATATCCAGCTATTTTGGACATATCACAAATTTCTGGATAGTCTCTTTCCCATAGAGACTTGAAATGGTTTATTATCTGAGAAAATATTTACTAACCTTATGTTTAGGGGACTGTGTGACTTATTTTGTAGCATAGCAGCTTTCACTGTACAAACACTCTTTTCCGTGGGTTTGTGTGCATGGGGAAGTCAATATTTGTGTAAAATATTTAATGAAGGTGTGCAGTCTCAGGTCTCCAGGAATATTCTCACCTGCAGAGTTCAGGAGCTGCATGTGATGTGACCAGTGGCAGAGATGATGTCATTGATACGCTGGTACCACCTTGTTCTCTATGGTGTGAACACCCTCTCTGGGAACCTGCTGCTTTGTTAGCTCAATAAATAAGGCAGACAAGACTGTTTTATTAAGTTCCATGGCTCTGCTGATTTTATAGCAGCTACTGCAGCAGCTATCATGACTGGATGAGTAAACTGCGGCACAAAGGTGTTTGCACATCTGTCACGTCTCCTTATGAATGGCAGAGCCATCAGCATGACTCCACTCCACCCATACACGACACAGGCTTCCTGGAGCAGAGATGTAGTGATGTTTTTTTATCTTCCTAGAGGCGCAGAGTCTGTGGCTAAGTCACACTTCTGTTAACCACCCCTTTGTGTTTTGAGGGATTACACCTCATGCAAAAACCCTCTGGCTCCCGGCAGGCGGCTGGTGCAGCTCGAGGGAGGGCAGCGCCAGCAATGCATCAGGGCTGAGCAGAACATGTCCTGGACAGACAAGAGTTTCCTGTGCTCCAAGAAAGCCATGTACTGTCTGGAGAAGTGGGCCTTTGCAGACAGTGTTTTGAGGGTGATTACATCTGTGTCGTATTTCCTGAGGTTACATGGAGCTTGAACATGAACCAGTGTAGATCTGCACTGGGGGAAAGAACAGACCCATGAAGCTCAGCACATGAGCTGCCCAAGGCCATCCATGAGAACCTCCAAAAATCATCAGCATTAAAAAATAACAATAGACAGTGTTCTCATTCACCTTCTGCTTAATTCAAGTTGGTCAGATCTACACGCCAAAAATATGAATTTTAGTTATGAAAGCTGCAGGTTTTTCAGAAACACCTCTCCCAGGAGATGGAAATTTGCTGTAATGTTGAAGATGACAAACCTGATGATAAACCTGTTAAAGCAGGTAACCTTGCTCAGTCTCAGGCTTGGTCTTCTTAAAACGGTCTCCTTAACCCCTAGCGAGGGGTCAGCATGAACCAGGCAGCAGTGACAGATCCTAACTGTTAGCTGGAGTTTGTAATTCTGACATGTGACACCAGGAGGAAAGTCCTGCACTAAGAATGTAAGGTAAAAGGAAGCACCCAAATCACCTGCGTACAACTGCACATTCTGCAGTAACAGGAGAAAGCCCCAGACGCCGTGAGGCAGCAGATGAGCGTGGGCGTACAGGCGACAGCCATGCCCAGAGGGACTCTGCCTCTGCTGCTCACACCAAGAGCATGGTGCTGAAAGCGTCCAACTTGCTCCCCAGGGAGCAGTGATCCTCGACTTTCTGCTGGCTTTATTCCTCTCCAAACAGGCAATGTATGATGTCATCAACAACTCCTCCTGGACCCACAGTCCCTTTCAAATCAGATTCATATTTCTGTCATATACACCGAGAAGTTCAGCTCCGTGTAGGAAGTTACTCCCTCGTATTCCAGGCTCCAACGGCTGTTTGCAGGACACTGAAGATACGGGCTATCAGCCGGCGGAAAGCTGTAAATAGTTACTTCTTGGGAGTGGTCAAGATTTTCCCACAAACTTTCCTCTAATCTCACCTGGCTTCTGAACTAGAAACACCAATCTCCTTGCTAAAAAAACACCCCAACACATTTCACCAATGTGGGTGAGAGAGAGACATCAGGCAAGTGGTGCCAAGTCTGGTCAAGCACAACACCCTGGAATCAGGTGACTGGTGTGTACAATAGTGGAAGAGTCCAAAGGGGCCCAAAAATTATCCCTGTTTTCTCTTTTGTATTTTTGATAAAAGCCTTGACTCTACCTGGAAACACGTGATTGCTCCTCTAACGACAGCAAGGCTTTGAGCTGTGCTGCGCTCCAACCACACAGCCCAGAGCTCTCCTGCATTTGCATTGAGCATTCAGGAATAAGTCCTCTTCTGCGCACGGAATCCAATGAGATGAATTCCTGCACATGAATGAGCAGAGAAAACGCTGCTTGATGGTAGCAGGCCAGCAAGGTGCCTGTGTAATTACTCTGAACCCAAGGACTGTGGTAGCCTGCAGCCTTGCAGGAATTCGGCTCACGGACACGCGTGGGCACAGAGGGTACTGGGCTGCGTGTCGATGGGACTACAGGCCAGACCTCATCCAGCCCGAGCTTCCCCATCTCCTGTGCAGTCCCGATGAGATCCTAACAGGACCCTCATGCATCACCTGCAAGCTCTGCAGTTCCTCAAGGCTTGCAGTAGTCTGCATATGTGCAGGTCTTTCTGCAGGAAAAAAGGTGGTTTAAAAAAGGGTGCCAAATGCGGCTATCTGAATAACTTGCTTAAACACGTCGTGGACAGAGTTGCTGAAACATGGCAGTCACAGCAACGCTCACATGAGTATAGAATTGAATTACTGGGGCTCAGCAAATCATTTGCAATGAGTCATTTTTTCCAAATACAGCCTCTCTTCCTCCATACAGCACAGCTGAGCACCTGCCTGGGATATTGTTGCATGAAGATGACGATCTTGGGCCATTTTCTCGAAGAGACACAGCACCGAATAACCAGAACTGTAAGTACAAAGCTCTGGTACTCCCCCAGATCCAGCTTGCTGTGGGCATCAGACAGCTCCTAACCGTTTAGGTGGCTATATGTGCTTTCCTAAATTTTGAGCCTCTTTTCAACTTTGCCCAGCTTTGTCTACACACAGCATGGAACCTGCCCACCCTCTTCCCTCCACCCTCCCCTCTGCTCCTCCCACACCAGCAGGTTCACAGAGACCCTTGGCTGGGGCTGTTCGCAAACTTCTATGCACTTGAAATCAAGGAGTTCTTCTTAATATAAGGATTTTTCAAATCTTTTTTTTTTGTACCTCTGTCTTTGTACTCTTGTTTCTGGTCATGCAACAGGGTGAAGCTCCCATCGGGGGAGGAACTGCAGCTACTGCCAGCTAATCTGCTGCATACAACATAGGTGTCCCAAAGCAGGAGAGGAACGGCAGCACTGTGTTATTGGGATTGCATTAGAGGAAGAAAAGGGGAGAGAGACTAATTAGGGGGCTAAAGGCTTCTTAAGATCACTTGCTAAATTTGTGCCGGAGAGTCTGGTTTTATCCCAAATTCAGTTAATGCGACTCTTCTGGAATCTGACCCCAAATGTCAAAAATTCCCATTACTTCTGAGAGCTCTGGATGAGGCAAAAATTACAGACTGGGACGAAAAGTGGCTTATAAGCTGTCAAAGGAGGAAGCAAATAAATACAATTAGAAAAAATTAAGGAACTTTAAAGTGATTTTCTTGGCCATGAGTCTCCTAAAAGGCATTAAACCAGACTACAGTACAGTGGGGGATGCAGAGTATATAGAAAACTTTGATAGACACGTAATCAACTCAGTAAAATAAACGGATATTCAGATCCTACCTGCATCATTGAATTTGTGCTGTTGATCTGGCAAAGGGAGTCTGAAGACCCCTCTGCAGCATGAACAATCTCATACAGGTTCTAAGTATTCAGGAGTGACTTTAAAATGTACCTTTCACAGACATTTCCAGCCTTATGAAAAGCAAATGCAGCATGTACATGGCCAAGATGCGATTTGAGTAAATGGAGGAAGTTTTTGCAAAATTAACTCCCCAAGGAAGCATCATGGCAGATTATTTTAAGCAAATACCTAGTCCTTGTATGATAAGTAATCTACATAGAAAAGGCATGAAACAGAGTACTTACCTCTCTTGGATCTGAAGCTTTTGAAGCTCATCAGCCACTCCATAAGGTAACATCTCCTTGGGCAAATTGAAGCGTTGCGCCCATCTTGCCGCTGTGTTCAAATCACAGTAACTGATCAGCAGCTCTATCAGGTGCCCTTGAAGCCATTGATTCTCTCCAACTGTGCTCTGCAAGGAATCAAGGGGGGAGGAAGACTGTCAGTGCAATTTCCATCATGGGTGTTTCTACCCCCTCTCAGGAGACAGCGGCCTCCAGGGGCTCCTGGACAAGGGCAGAAAGGAGCGACGTTTCCCCCATGTCAGGAGTGATTTTGTTCGAACTCTGTGAGTTCTGTACTTCTCTGCCAAGGGATGAAGAGCAGATGCTTTAACTGAGAGCTCCTCAAGGGACTTGGGGCCCCCGACAGCATGGCTCTTTGTTCAGGGAATACCACCTTGCAGGTGCAGCACTGAGAAACAAGGGTGAAACGATGCCATTTACAGCCTGACTGATGACTAGCATCTTATTTGCTCAGATACTGATTACACTAAGTAAAATCAGAACCCGTGACTGACCAGACAGTAAAGATCTCTGGGCTCGTTAGGCAGTAATTACAGAAGGGGCAAGAGTTTGGATTGTTGTAGTCACATTTTGTTCCTGTACATAGCTCTTAAGTGATGCTGTGACTCGATGTCCTGGGAGTGGCAATAGGATGGCTTAGTCTCTCTCCAGGTTAGACAGTAGCATGGGGTGTCCTCTAGCTTTGGGAATATTTGCCTGGGTAACCAGCATTGCCAGTCACACGCGGCTTACAGGTAGGACACATCAGTAAAGCCTTCCTGAGTAACAGAATTTGGTGTTCGGAGGGAGGAAAAGGCTTGCTCATCGGCCTACAGCCCATCTGCGCACACCGCTGTGAAAACAGGCACTGGGTCCCTCCTCTGGCAACACGCAACAGCCCACTATGCGACAGACACCCCGCGCGGCCGGCACGCACCCAGCCAGCACCGCTGAGGGGTCCAGGGTGTCAGTGGTGTCACCCTGCAGCAGAAATAGGTTGTATGAACTGTGCTCTGAACGTCCTACTTTATCCCCACTGAGAAACCCAGAGCAGTCGCTCCGGCTGTGAAGACCTTGGGTTGGGTGCAAGAAATTCCTCTCTTGGTGTCTGTTCAAGGGCTCTGTGGATGTGAGAACTGGATTATTGCCTCAGCTGTACAGACAAACACAAAGATCTCAAATGTCACCGCAGGAGCCTGTGTTACCTTCAGATGGGGAGGGCAGTTTAGGACATCCCCTGTTCCCAGTTGTTTTCTGGTTGAAGTGAACGTGCGCCCATGCCTCGGCACACTGCAGGGCCCGGGGGCAGAAGCCCAAACTCACGGCTGCCTGTGGTTTAAGCCCAAATACCCAACTGTGAGCCAGAGCGGCTGGAGCCCGGCACGCTGCCCACCCTGGCACGAGGGAGCAGCTCTTGGCAAGGGGCACAGCAGACAAATAGTGCCCATAATAGTCTCCACCACGAAAGCTGGATTCACCAAAGCTCTTTTGTCTTGTTCACTCTCTTGGCTGATGCCCTTAAAGGCACTGTGGCACAGCAGCTGTAAGAGAAATACGAACACGGTGACACCGATGTTGTCACAGCAGCTCTGTGGGGGTGGGAACGACCCTCTCCTCCGGGGCAGTCGACGCACCGGCACTCGCCAACAGCCCAGTGCCACTGCAGCCAAGTCCACAGCTCACTCCTCTGGCCAGGCTGAGTTACTTATGGATCTGTCTTAGAAGTTCACACTGTCAAGAAAACTTAATTGCTGTAACAAGCTGGAACTCCACACAGTGGATCGGGATGTGGAGCTGTACGGGTACGTTGCTGCTGGCTCTACCAACAAGCATTTTTCAGTGTAGTGAAATGCTCAGATACACACTTATAAGTCCATTCTCACCCTCCATCTCTCCTTCGCTGCCCACCAGGCAGCAGTGGTGCTCCCAGGCACCTTGCTCCTTCCCCACTGCATGTACGAACACCGCCTGGCTGGGTGGGAGGTTGGGGCCACAATTCCTCATTCCTCACATTCTTTCAGTAACTTAAAGGTGAGAAGTTGCCTTCAAAGCAGACATCCTGCACAGAGATCAGGAAACAAACCTGTTGATGGCCCCAAGGTAAAAGGGAAGGAAAAAAAGAAAGCAGAAATGAGGAAAAAAAAAAAAAAAGAATGACCCACCCCATAGAGGTGCAGGAGGGGGTAGAAACTTGGAAGAAAAGCCACAGAGAAATTTGGCATCCCAGGTAGCACACACAGGAAGCCAGCTTGCTCATAAAAACTGCTGCCTCAGCACTACATCTGCACCCCTGTGACTTTGCCAAATGCCGAACCACATTTCTTCTCACGGAAGAATATTTTTACTGCTGCTTCTAGGAGGTGGCGCAGCAAGGAGCCAGTGTCAGCGGGACGGGGCTCCAACAGCTGACCAGGGGCTCAGTTACGGGGGACAAGTGGCAGAGGGAACAGAGGGATGGGGCAGAGCAGGAAAGGATAAGCTATCACATTAACGCTTCTTGCTCTCTACGTTTCCTCCCAAACCCTTCCTCCCAGCCATGCTGGTCCCAGATGCTTTGGGCATCTCCCACATCTCTGCCTCATGCAACTGAGCTCATCCGAGCACCTAACACGTGAAGGGGGTTTGAAGAACTCCTCCTGCCGCATTTGCCAAGCCACTTCCCAGAGTCCTTCCCAAAAAGAACATATTTTCTTATTAACATCACAGAGCAATTCCTTCTTCTAGCTTCCCCTGTGTCCGCCCTATTGTCTTTCTGCCTTTTTTCTAGAACACAAAGTCTTTGGGGTTGGATCTCTCTTCAGTTCACCCAGAGTAAATTCTTAATAAATCTCATTATGTCAGCTTTATTTCTGGAAATAATGAGGTGCAGATTTTATTTTTTTTTTTTATTTTAATGATAACAGATATATTCTTTCAACCACAAAAAGAACTCTGGAAAGAAGGTTAATCTCTCCAGAGATATTACGTCTTGCATTCTGAAAAGGAAAATAGCTTTGTTTGTTTTTTACTGAAAAAACCCAACATTGCTATAAAGGGGAAAGGCTTCCACCACAACAGCTTTGCAAGGAGCAAGAATGTGGAAATTTTGGCCCCAGAAGATGTGGGCACAGATGCAGAGACAAATGTTTCACTCGGGATGACATTTCATGTATTTTGTTTTCAGTAAATGAACGCTTTTCAAGAGGAAACTGGCACAGTCGTTCCCATCACCATCAGCGACACCTCCGAGCAGGAAAAGATTATATATACCATGAGGCTTGTTTACATCCCTCTCTGAATTCTAGACATATCATACGTTCTTTAATCCCTAGGTGCACACAGAAACTCCTGACAGCACCAACAACCCATGATTAAAGCTTTCCAAAATGACTGCTGCAGATTACCTACCCGTCCAGCCTGTTCCTCCCCAGCCAAATGCTTTACGGAGCCCACAACAACCAGTGCAGCGCGAGTTTAGGAATGTCCTGAGCTTAACCCACAGCATCAGCAATTCCTCCACTGATATCAATAATTTGGGATCCAAATAGCCAATACCTTCTCTGGAAGTCACCTTAGCCAACCCTAGATTACTTTTATCTGTGCGTGTTAAATCGGATTTCTGTCAGAAACAATTCTTCACTTTCCCTCAGTGTCCTTTACCAGAGAGCGAAGTTATTCACACCAGTGACACTGGCTATTTGCAGAGTCAGATTTTAATTTAACTTTTGAATGTCTTGGCCCGTTTCCCCTGTTCTCAAGTGCTTCCAGAAACAACAAAAAAAATCCTGTTAGTGTAGAGAAAATGTCAAGTAGAATATTTTAGAGCCAGCAACTTTAAAAAGAAACCTGGACTTTGAAAGGACAAAACCACTGTAAGCAGTAGAGGACACCAACAGCATTTCTAAACCACTGTGGCGCTGCAGGTACTGTGCAGATACCTTTGTCTAAAGATTCCCCAGAACATCCTACTGTGGTATTTTCATTGTTAATTTATTTTTCATTTGTGCTGGAGAGTTCTCTTTTGAAGTCAGCATCATTCGTACTATACAGAGAGATGCTGCAGTCGTACGTCATTGACGGCAAGTCCTTTTTGCAGGAGATGGGAGCTGTGACCCTCAGACTGGGGACACAGCCTGTTCCGTGACAGAAGGGGGATCATGACTTTGGGATATCCGACAGAGATGGCACTCGGGTAAAAGATGCCAACTTCACCCACACTCACTTCTGAACAGGGTTTCTCCTGAAAGCGGCAGGCCACTCACCCACGGCCACTGCACAAAGACAGAAGCATGAGAAAGCCCTGCTTTCTCACCACTTGAGCTGTTGGCTCCCTCACAGGCTACTCAGATGCACTAATTTATGAACTGAAGAAGGACAAAATAGCCTCCATTCATATCCCAGAAGACTGACTTTCAGATAGCAATCAGTGCGTCATTGACAGAGCCACACTTCAGTGTTCTGGAGGCCATTACCACATCAATGGTGGGGAAGTGGTCTTTCTTCTCTCTTTCAACAACGAGGGCAGTGGGGCTCCCTGGGGCATGTTCACACCACCTAGCTTCAGCTTTGTGAATCAGGAGACTCAGCTTCCCACCCTCCGAGGGCAATCAGCTCTTCCAAAGGCAATTCAGAGGAGTCTAACTTACGACATCACTTGAACGGATGGAGGCGAAGGCAACTCATAAGGCCACCATGTTGCTGTACTGGGGCTCCTCACAAGGAGCTTACTGTTCCTGGGCAACCTGAATGGGGCTGCTAGCTTGTGACGAGTAGCTGGGACAATACTGTGTGACGAGATGCATCTGGATCCATTTTTCTCTCTGCAGGTGACACAATCGTGCCAACACAATTTCCCGTTCAGGTGTCCAGACACCACTACCAAACGGCAGCCAAAAGAAAAAAAAATCCAACGTATATCTCGTCTGTTAAAACAGACCCGTCTGAGGGCACAGCCAGCCGCAGCTCAGCTGGTGGGTGGAAGGAAGGGATTACCCCCCTCTGATCTACGCTCGTGAGACCACACCTGGACATGGTGCCCGGTTTTGGCACCCCAGTGTAAAAGAGATGCTGACAAACAGGAGGGAGTTCAGTAAAGAGCCACTGAGAGGGTTAGTGGGTGGGAGGACATGATGCAGAAGGAGAGGGTGAG